GGGGGATAATACAGCTACTTTACATCACCATCGACAAAATTTAGGTAATTTAGAAGACAGTTTCGACCTTGCTTCTATATCAGCGTCAGCAATAGCCGAGAGGGATGCAACGTCTCAGCGGAAAGGTCGAAATACTCGATACAGATTCTGCCCACCCAGGAATCGAACTCCTGCATGACGGGCTGAGATGCAGAAGACCATGATCAGAATCTCTAAAGAGGTCTTCTTGACCTTGTTCAATTTTAGTTATAGTTTTACGGCACTTGCAACACAATAAGGTCATATAAATGCCGAAGATTAGAAGTGTTATAAGAGAGTAACAAAAATAAAAAGGGAAGGAGGAGAGAAAAAGGCGTTAGAAGTTTGATAGGAGAAAAAGAGTAGACCACACCAGAGCACCCGCCAACCACCCTCATTCTTGAACTTGATCAACTTGGGAGTTTTCACAGTTCTCCTAGCACATGCCTCAGTTTTATCGGAGACGGACGTTAAGTATGGAGATCCCACATTAACTCTCTGAGAGCTTAGACTACAGTGTTGAAATAAATGTGAGGTAGCGTGGTGGAATCAGGCTCTCGTCAATTTGTGTGCATGTAGAGTTATTGGTATCATCTTAAAGCTTGTTCACTTGTCTTTATTTGGACGAAAAAAAATATCCATTTATCTTGAATACAAGTCGAGATAATTGAGAATGAAGGAGGTGGGGTCACCTGTTTTCAGAGGTAAAATTAGTGAGAAAATGGCTACCAAAGATTAGTTATTTCCTTAGCTTTTGAGTCCGTGGTAACTGAAAATTTACATTTTTGGTTCCTTTAATCAACGTTTTTCGGAAATTTGAGCCGAAAAACAAAAATTTGATAAAAATTCACAAACCTGCGGAAAAATGCAAGTTTCTTCACTTTAATTATTTTGACAAGAGCCTGATTCCACCACGCTGCCTCACAAATGGTAGACCCACCCATCACATTGGAAAAAGGATTCATCAGGTAAAAAAAATGTTCAGCAAGTCAAACAGAATGTATTGCGTTAAGTAGCCCATACATGGCCAACATTTTGGTCCAACATGTTGACGTCAAAAGCATTGGCAGTTTGACGTTCTCCCTACACGCTCAACATACGAGTATATTGCACAATGGTCAGTTTTTGCCTAGACCTCACAACGGACGCACCAAAAGCGTTGTTTCTTGCAGGAACATAAGGGAATCAAAGCACCATAGTGACAATTTATATGTCTTCTACTCCGGCTCCAGATTTTTAGCTACTCCGGCTCCAGATTTTTAGCTACTCCGGCTCCAGATTTTTAGGAATCGTTGAACTTTTTCAGTTCCTTTCTAAAAATGTGTCTGTAATGAGTTGATCTTCTTCTTAAGCTCATCATTCGTCCCTTCCTTATACCACTCGCAATATCTGTCTTGAAGAGTCTGGTATGGATCATTTTTCTTATTTCTATCAGGATAATCAATACTTTTCATTTTCCAAAGCGCGGGTAAACTCCGATATACATCCATCAGCTAAAGAGGGTTTTTTCCTATTTGGATGGCGCCATGTTGATATTTTCTATCCCGCAGCAAATACCAAAATGAAGTTTTCGCAGAATATTGATGGGGTATCACACACGCACAAAAAATATGATGGTTTGCGACAAAAATGTCTAATTTTTGGATGAACTCAAAATTTTGGCATCAATACATTAAGGACATCAATATCAGCCATTCACGATCAAAAATTGGTCAAATAATTTAACGTCCAAAAATTTGGGGGAAAAGTGCGTGTATGGGCCGCTTTAGGCTAATGCACAAAAGACAAGAAGTTACCCGCAAGAGTTATTGTTTCGACTTGCTCTTCACAAATCAGTTCTCTAAAACACAGAACACACACTCGTACTTCTGTGTTGTGGGTCAGAGCTGTAGCTGCAAGGTTAGATCTATCCGCTCTCTGATCCGGACTTCACCAGACTGCCTCTTATCCCCGTGCGCAACGTGTCAAAGGTTAAAGAAGGGAAAAGTATAAAGTCCAAATACGCGCGACAGTAACAATGAATGTCATAGCTCATCACAATTGCAAGCACGTTACAACTGTGACAGCCCTAATTGTACAGCGTGCGTCGTATTACGTCACTGAACCAATAAATTGCGCCATTATAATGTAGTTTTAACGCGCCTTTCAACACTGTAAGGTTATCTAAGAGACAGGACCTCGGACCTTTATGTCTATCTCTAATATGACGGACGTTGATTGCTTAGTGGTAAGACTACCGGACCCTAATCGTGAGTTTGCGGGTTCGGGGGTTCGAGCCTCAGCTCGGTCTGACTTTGGTTCCTTAAGAGAGATACTTTACACGAATTTCCCACTTTTCTCTGTCCTTTCGGAGATAGACGTTAAACTCAGAGGTTTCGCGCTTAAATAACCTAATAGTGTTGACAGGGGCGTTAAACCTATACCACTTCATTTTCATTTCTCATATTATAACAGAGCTAATAAATAGGAGGAGAGCCTTTTAAAAACGTTTTAAAAGTCATCCAAGTTCAGTACGTTCCGTTTGGGATTCAAACCAGGGTCAATCTCTGTTTAGTCCAGCTTGACACCAACTGAGCTAACGGAATGCCTTGTCACTAGACATCACAACAGAAGACGAACAAGTTCTTAATGGCGTTCCGGTGCCAAATATATATATATAT